TTTTTAAGGGGGCTTCACCCTAACTCATCCTAGAAGGTCAAGTTTTGTCACAGCATCAGTACCATGCCAGTGTTTTCAGTGGGACAAGCACAGGTTGTAAGGGAGAATAGCCTTCAGCCTGAAGGTGTAGATCTTCTGTTATGCATTGACTCCAGCAAGTTGTAGTAAACCTGCAGGGATATATCAAGAAACAGGCACCATGAGTGGGCACAGCCTCAGGCTTCTAGACCTTTGAGTACAGACCTCTTTATATAAAAGCTACTTTATATAAAAGTAGCAAGTATATTGGTACTGTCAGAAGAGAGCTGACTATGTGCATCTCCTCACTATGAGCTTGTTAATGCATTAGTGTTTCACAGCTGACTGATTGGTAAAGCTAACACCTAGACAATAATGACTGGAGTTCAGAAAACAAATGTGAAAAACAGCAGGACTGGTAGACAGTGTAATAAGAATATGCTCTTACAAAGAGGAAAACTGGCAGAGCAAAGTGCATTCCAATCCCTGGAATTCTAGCTTGACGACTCAAGCTAGAATATTGCTGCATAGCATTAGCACCTGCATCTAGTACCTGTGATACTGTGGACAGAAGCAGGTGTGATTCTCAGTTTTTTGTACGGAGAGATTCACGTGTACTGATCAGTAAGGAAGCTTTTATACAAGCCATATCTCCTGGAGCAAATTGGCTAATGTAAGTCATAACACTTAGCAAACAAATTTCCCCTCCAGCTCAGTTTGCAGATTGTGTGCATTATTTGTATTTTCACAAGGTGCTGGAGCCCCAGTTTTGGATTAGGATCCATTTATTCAAGGTGCTTGCAAACTCAGAACCTCAATATAGCATTTTCCTTGTAATGGCTACAGTTTTCAGTATATTTTGAGGGACAATGCTGACAGAGGCAGATGATGGGGACCAAAAGGGAATTACAAGACAATGTGATCTGTGTAATTAGCACTAATTCCAGTATGCCCACATCCTAAAAATTGTCATTTTTATTGAACAGGTGTCACTGCAGAAGTTAAGCAAAGATATTGAAGAAACATAATGAGGTACCTTTCTGGATGTTTATGCAGTTTATGGATGTTTATGCAGGGAAGAGTGTCCCATCTGAGGCAAATGACAAAAAGCACAAGATGAATTATTTTTAAACTTAACATGTGGTCAAAGTTAGCTGGCATCTTTAGTCCATCAGAGGGAAATGATTTCTCAATAGTGAATGCAAGGGAGAACAGGTTAGGCTATGGAAGCCTTTCTTACATATTCACTAGTGAAATATATTCAGCAGTGAAAATTCTTTGCTCAGTATTTTCTGTGAATAGGTTTTGGTCTGACTGCAGAGCTTCTTTCTGTGCAAATCTATTTTTTAAGCTTTCTTTCTAGTTATGACTAAATGCATTGTTCCCTACCAGTTAAATATGAATCAGTTTTTACTCTGCTTATAAAGATTTTAGATTTTTTTTATTTCTTTTAATAAATGTTTTTTGAAAAACATTTCTTTAGCATTCCCCTGCCAATACATTCATTCTCTAGATTTGAATGAGGAAATACACTCATTCTCTAGATTTGTATAAGGAAGTTCCTGCTACATGTAAAGGCAGGTGGCTATGTCAATGCTCATGTGAAAGTCATCCAGCTCTAATGCGAAAACTTAAATTTCTGTTGCCAATAGGATGAAAATCGAAGTCATTTTAATTCATAACTGGAAGTAAGCTGGGCAGAACTACAGAGCAGTCACACACTCAACCAGAAGGTCTATGATGGACAGCAGGATTACAAACTCGTAAGTAGCAAACCACAAATATGAGTAGATGATACTGGCAGGAGAATGTAGTTGTAAGTCTTGAAACCTGTTGGGATACAGAAACAGGGTAATATCTGAAACACCACTTTTAATGGATTCTGTTGTTAGGAAAGTTGTTTGAAGCAGATAAGTGATGATATAATGACCCTTCTGCTAAAATTTGCAATTTAACGAAATCTTACATGTTGCTTACATGTAATGGGTGGTGAAGGGCTTGACTACTCCCATGAAATAATTTCTGGTTAGAGAGCTGCAAGAATTGATGTATGTACAGAAGCTATGTTCAGTCTCAGGATTTGTAGTGCATCCATTTTTTAGTACTGCCAGTGCCATCTTAAAGAATTGGCCCTTAGTCTGAAGGAGGCCTGCTGCACTTCGGTGTGCAGCTGCTCTGTGGATGCACAACAGCACAGAATCTGCTGACTTGCTGTGCATGTGAGCTCAGTGCTCAGGATTCTCTATAGTCATAAGATAACCACGATTATTAACTGCCTGATTAGTGCAGGAATGGCAGTTGTAAACTGTCAAGAGACTGGAATGAGTGTGTGAAGATAAAATATAGCAGTAAAGGTGGGAGATACAAATTAAGTAAAATCAAATGTTGCAGCGAGAGATAGCATTGGTAAATGTGGTTAAAGCCAAAACATTTCTTTATGGGAGGAGCTGAAAAGCTGCTGACTTTCTTCCTGTGAGTCTGCAACATGCTGGGGAGTTTATAGGGCAGGCCTGCCTGACCGCTAAGAGACAGTCAACACAGCACTTTTGCATGGAGGATGACTGCAGCACAATAGCAGCACATTGCAAAGAGAAGTAGCAAGTATCCTGATGGAGAAAGAGGAGTGCAGGGAGGGACTTTCTGCTCTAGACCTTCTGTGCTGCTAGGAACAAAAAGCATATTTGTATATGTGTGTATACACAAGGCTCTTAACATATTATTTATCACAGTCACAAACTAAAATCCTGTTTTCTGCCAACTTACTGCAGAGGATCTGCTACATCCTTGGCTATCCTAATCAGTTAGGCACAGAAACAGTGGTCTTCCTGCCTACATGAAAGGGCAGGATTAGTTGCTGTGCTGGCTGCTTTGGCCTTCTAGACACTTTGCTCTTTGGGCTTCAGTTCAGAAGACCATACATGCCATCATTAACAGCCTACATGACTTTTGACTCAAAGTGCCTGTAGCAGGCCCGAATGTGGAACAAAGTAGAGGCCGAAGGAAATAATGAACCAGTTGGCAACTTAGCAACGTCCAGGTCTGGGATACACATGGTTTAGTCCAGTGTAATAGGCTTATGAAGGATCATAAAACCCTACAGCTAGACAGCAGGTTAGCAGGTATTATATTTCTGTAAATAAAATATATTACGTATAAACTGGAAAGAATATACCTTCCAGAGCTGCTGTATCATAGGATGAACCCCACTTTATGGACACTGAAGAACATAAATGACTTTCCAGTCCACAGAAAAAAGCCTAAGAAGTGGTGAAACTGTTTTTGTGCGGGAAGAAAGATCATTGGCCATTATTACACCTATTTTAAGTGGGGGATTTCAGAGAATTATGACTGAGTTGACTGGCTCTTTTCCTTGGTAAGTCAATGGAAACTGAGGTTCCTTTAAAACTTTCTGTTCGTAGCTGACTGATATTCAGCTTTGATCCCTTCCATTCCAAAATGACATACAGAAACAGAGAAAAGCAATACTTGAATGCAGAGAGCACCTGGAAAAAAGTAGCTGTTTCATAGCTCGTAGAGTGAGAATAAATAACCAATTGTATCTGTTTACATCAGTAATACATGTAGAAACTGCAATCAATTTAGAAGTCTGTTTTCCAAGCACTGGGTCATAGCCCTCGGATCATAGCCCTCGGGAGGCTCTCTCAAAAGAAAGCTCTAGCAATGTGTGGCAAAGACATTTCTATGGTCTAAAGGAAAAATCTAGTTCTTCTGATCCTACCGTCAGACCAAGTACCCAGTCAGTCTTTAAAAATACTGAAATAAGAGGTAGTAAACAGAGGTTTACAAATGGATTTCTTTACTCTTACTGTAAAGCCAATTCATACTTTGGCTAGTAAGGCATCAATCCAAAAAGTTTGAGAACTGCTAGTATATAAAGGACAATTTATTTGACTTATTCCCAAAGGATATTTTGGGAAGGTGAGAAGAAGTTACCTCAACATTAGACACATTAAGATATATAAGCTAATTTACATACAAAAAAGTGAACTTGCAAGTATATTTAAAAGAATATCAATAAAACATCTAGACATATGAATGAAAAAAATCTTCAGTTGTGGTAGTTAAAATAAATATGACTAGAATTAGCAAGCATTTTATCCTTTTTGTACATTATTGCACAGTTATAGAAGATACATTTGAACTTGTTTCGTTTTGTGAAATATTTGATGCTTCTTTCTATTAAAAGTAGCTTACTGGATTTGAGTAACATAATTCTTTTACAGTATCTTAATGCCAATACTCTTAAGAAAGAGAAGGATACCGTATCTTCAGAAAATCTTATGGAAAAGTAATCATAACAATAATCTGAAATACAGAATGAACACATTTAGTGCAAATACTGAATATGAACCTAACAAGTAAATTAATCATGCTAGCGAAGTCTCTTTCTTAGTGGATGACCTTCTAAATTCATCACTTGTTTCCATTTTTAGAACTGGGGGATTAAAGGTCTTCCCTACCAATATATTCCGCCATTTGAGCTATTCTGTGACGATCAGTACTCAGGCCACTATGTTAGTAATTTGTGAATTAGAAAAAAGTGGCTGTTGATTGAAGAGTGTTTCATTTTAGTTCAGACAGAACACTCCTCCCATCTCCCAAATGTGTGCCACATAGTGTCAAGTGCATCAAAGTAATGCCTGAAAGTGACTGACAAAACCAGGATCTCCAAGGCAAGAACAGCAAATGAAAGACTGATCACAACAGCTTTTCCAGGAAAAACTACGGCATGGGATCAGTCACATTTTCCCAAAGAACAACAGGAAACCTGTTTCCTTTCCCAAGGAAGAAGGCAAAACAGGGAAAAAAAGAACTATACGGACTCATCAGCAAGCACAGGTGTTTGAACAGACCTAGTGAACTATGTTGCCCCAAAACCTGAAGAAATCCTCTGAGAAGTTTCTTTCTACAACCAGTCCTTTATAAAGTGTCTCTCTCCCTTTCCAGTGTTGCTGAATCACTCATGTTGCTGTCGACAGTCCTTGTGGAAGATTCTGCCCCACTGTCAGATCAGACACTGAGTTGTAAATTGCGTTTTCCTTCTGCACATAAGTAGTATAAGGTTCCACTTCCATTGTGTCATCCTAGCAAAACAAAACCAAAAACTGTAAATGCAAGGAATAGTTTAGTTTGGCAGGATTCTGCAAGGCTTTCGTCTGGACTGAAGAATGTAACTGGGAAATAGTGCTCCCATATTTATTCCTCTTGGACTCAAGAAGACTGCTTTTTCTACCAGAGAATGTGTATTGCTGTTTCTGTCAAAGCTGAGGTATTGGTTCACCTGCCTCCTTTTCCTCCCCTTCTACCCCACTTATTTCGGCCTGAAAAAAATTGCATTGGGGTCTAATTCTTTAGAAAGAGCAAATAACATGCTAGAGTCTTGACCATGATTGATTCCTCTATCAGTCTACAATTTCAGTCTACAGACACGCTAATGAAAGTTGTGTGATGCGACAGCAAGAACACTGGTACTTAACCCATTATTTTACATTAATGCAACTGCATCTGTCAGCAACAACTGGAAGGTAGGGCAGCAGAACAGGAAGAATAATAATAACTAGAATTGACTAAGTCTTTTCAGAAATTGAAACCGAAGAACCTTTTAAAGTTGATGACAGAATTTGAGCCTAGTGTCTACTGTCGGTGCACAGGTATTCACAATATAGATGTAACACATCTTGCCTGCATGGAAATGCTGTTATTTATATTTGGTAGCAGAGAACAGAGATACAGAGCTGATAAGTGAATTGCTTAGCTACACAGGAAGCTTGTAACACATAAGGAAGAATACCTCCCAGCTTGCAGTTCAGCACTCCTTCCATTGTTTTATGAAATGTTTTGTCTTGAGTATGGTTAGTTCTTTGATTGTGGATTGACCATACAAGATAAAGAGTGGCCTTCAAAACTTGCACATTATCATTCTGGACATCAAGAGGGATATTCTTTTTCTCCCTGTGTCTTTTAATTTTGTTGTTTAATCCTCTTGTTTACTAATAGCTTTCTTAATATTACCCAACCCATGATCCTTCCTGAGTATTGTTTGTACAGCAGTTGTGGTCAGTGTATCTGATATGAACAGGGAGATGTGGTGGGACTCACTCCTTGCTAAGATAAAGGATGGGAGTTGCTGAGCCTTTGCTGTTGGAACATGCCTCTAATGTTTGCTCCAAGTCAAAATTCTGGTGATGATAAGCTTTGTTTTGTCCTGAGATACGGCTAAGAGCAAACGTATAAGACAAAGTAGCACCTGCTGAAAGCAGAGAGTAAAAATCTAATGGTTTACTGACCATGTTTTCAGGGCTACGAGAAGATCCCTGATTTGGTGATGGTCTAATTTGCATCATTCTCCTTACCTGTGGGGAATGTGTAGGAGCAGTCTCAGGAGGTTTGGTTTTGTGGCACAGTCTGTTAAAAAGAAAACAAGTATTAAAGCAAATTCCTTCCTCAGTCCTACGTTTGGCTGGATCACAGCCTGGTTTCTTTGATCACAAGCTTATGAAACATTTCTTTTTCTTGTCATCAAGAGCAAAGCCAAAAAGCCTTCTCATGTCTCTCTCTCCTTGACTTTTGATCCTGAAAAGATGGCATCCTGACTCTCTTTAGAGGTCTTTTCTCATGTTTGTGGGAGCTTAAGCACAAAGTGGAATCAGAAGATTAAGATTAAAATCAACATCCTCTGGAAAGATGTACAATTTGCAGTTAGTGAAATTGTATTGAACCAATTCTTCACCTCTGAGGGAGAAGGTTTGGGAGAAAAACAGTTTTGGAATAGGGGAAGGAGGGAACATAGCTGGGGGTTTCAGTACAGGTGCTAATTCCGCCTTTCTCTGCACAAATGATTTCTGTAGTTTTTCCTTGGAACTGCTTTTTTCTCCACAGCCAGTCCTAAAGGGGCTAAAGTCCAGCTTCACCGAGGGAGCTTTTTCATAGATACAGGTACAATCTGCTGTCCTCTCTGTTGATATGGCAGGATAGCACTGGTCAGTCCTCTGGCATTTGACAGAACTTATTAGGCAGCAGAACCAACCCCCTGATCTAAACAAGAGACACACTGACAGACTATCACCGTATCTGAAGAACAGCTTTACTCTGCCAGTTTCCTATTAGAATGAAGAGCTCCCCTTTAGTGTAGCAGGCAATGCAATGAGGATCCTCTGCCAACTTCTGCCCATTTATATTTTATTCATGTGCATTATTCAGTGAAGATGTGTGCAATGCACAGTGTCTGCAGTATAGAACTATTTGATGTAGTTAATTCAGTTATTCATAGCAGCACAGACTGGCAGAATCATATGATTTCAAGATGCAAACAGTACTTAAAGATTTCATCTAGCACTAGAAAATCTGTCCTTAGCACCCTATCATACATACCTGTCACTGTGGAGCTTATAATAGTAAATGACAGCCGTGAAGGTGATAATGCTCAGGAAACAAAGAATGATGGAGACATACAGGTTAAAGGCGTTGTTCTCTAAAAACAAAGAGTTAGTTTTAGTTATATCTTCTTACTGCTCAGTTTCTTTATTATTTCAGTATAAGATTAAAACTGCTTTAGCACATACACACATTTTCAGCATGCTCATAAAATAAATATAATCCCCTTCAGCAGAAGGGGAAGTCGGTAATGAAACTTGTCTGAGAAACACAAATGGAGTCTGTGTCAGAAACAAAAGCAGATCCCACAAATCCCACAGTGGACACTCATGATATTTTTTCACTAAGCCATACTCAAGCTCCTCTGAAGGACTCAGCATATCTCAGTACTGCAACTCATGTGTAGTTCTCAAAAGCAAAAAAAAAAAAGCAAAAACCAGAAACCAAATGTCACAGGATATCAGATATTCACAGCTCGGAATGAAGTGATTTATTTGTTTCTGCTGGCCACACAAGAGTTGATTCTCTTTCTCTCTCTTGCTATGATCTGAGCAACAGACTTTACATTTCCATCTAAAAAAATTTTGCTGATGTTCTGCTTCCAAGTGATCATTTTAACACAAAGATCATGACTGCTTTGTCTCTGTTTCCAACAATATTTCCACTCCCAAAAGAATACTACCACACTTAGGTATATCCCTCTTAGGGAAAAAACCATTAGGAAACAGTGTCTAGAACACAAACAAGCTGGTGATGTTTCTGGGCAAAGGCAGTTAGGGATGGTACTGTTGTCTGTATAGGACTTCACTGAAGGTTTCTATAGCTTTTATAGATTTTCCTTCCCAGAAGGAACAAGAGTGTGCACAGGAGGCTAACTGGGATTTCGAATGCTGAACATACAAAGGGAAGCTTACTTGAGGGACGGCAGGCTATGGACTTGCTCTGGTTCCCAGCTGGGTGGGACACAATGCAGGTTATATTAGTCATGTTGGTGCTGTATGCTGTGAACTTGCTGAGAACAGTCACCGTCCCGTTGCCGTGGCCTTCTTCCTTGGGGGTGGAGTTGCTCTCTAGGACCCACGAGATCTGAGCAGCCGGCCTCCCTGCCGCTGCCTCGCACACGGGGTTCCCGTGGTCATCACAGTACAGGGTCAGCCGGGGGGGGACTGCAAAGCGTCAGGAAGGGGAGATGCACGGAGTTAGTTTGCCGCAGTTGGGATAGGATGTTCTTGTTCTCTACCCAAAATGAACACAGTGAAAAGAGGAGAATAAGCTGGGAGGTGCCATCCCTTTACAGCGACATGGGCCAAAGTCACAAGAGACAAAGATCATGCCTCTTTTTTCCTTTTCGACAACTCTCCCCCATTCAGGTCAGTTACCACAGCCATGTACCATTAGAGCAGATTTCCCTGGACATTGCGGTAGGGAATTAT